AAGTTAAAACTGTTAACTTCTGTAATGAAAGTACAAGAATGCCCTTGAGCTATATTACCCACTGTTGTTTATTCTAATGTGTATATATATGTATATTTAATGGATTTAATAAATTTTAAATTCTTCATATAGTAATTGAAAGATACAATAAATATTAATTTAGTTTTCCAAGTTTGTTAATTAATTTCTGAAAATTTAACACTTAAAAATAAAATTATGTGATCATAAAATTTAACTTTTAAAGCTTGTTTGATAAAAAAAAATTAATTTAAGCTATATGTACATATTAGATCAATTAAAATTTAAAATATTAAGGGCATTTGGGTTTGAAACTTTATGGTTCAAAATTCTATTTCACAGGAATAACAAAGTTAATTTTATCATTTTGTATTGTATAAGGGTATTTTTGAAATTTTAAAATCACTAATTAACGGCAGGGCTGTTAGAGTTAACTCAACTAAACTTGAGGGGAGGTTAACCAACAAAAATTCACAACTTAAAATTGAGAGTAATTAAGGTAAAATCTAGAGGAGGTTAGAATAATTTACCCTTTTATTAAGGGACAAATGCAAAAAACACCCCTAAAATATACTCTGCATAACACTTCTACCCCTTATTTGAAAAAGTGTGCAAAAAACACCCATAATCTTTTCACATTGTGCAAAAATATCATCAGACATAAATTAGTATTGTAATACCCGTTTTGCTTTTTTACTCTTCCAAAAATGCCTAAGGAAGTATATATGATACTAATCTCATAGTACATGGATGTTATGTACACATTATTATTATTATTATTATTATTATTATATATATATAAAACTTTTTTCTCTATATATATCTCTAAACATTTTTTAAAAAAAACTTTAAGAATTTGTAAAACAAGGATTTGAATTTTTTGATATTTCAGTTTACTTTTATCTACTAAAATTTTTTATTTTATTTTATTTATTTTTCGTACCAACACTGTTAAATAAAAATAATAATAATAAAAAAAAGAATAAAACTTTTCCAATATCAGTGTGCACTAGTTTTCGAAGTTTGGAGTAGATTTATTTTCTTTAGTTTACACTTTATTTTCATTTTTTATTTTCTATATTTATATTTACTTTTCTTTTTATTTTCTATTTTTATCTTTTACTTGTCCATTGTCGGCGTCCTCCAACTATGTTATTTCGACCATTTTATAAAATTATTTATTTTTATATATTTTATAAAATGTTCAATATAGGTAATTTAGTCAACTTAGGGTTTAAATTTGTACCTGATTGAACCTTTAAGAGTGCTTTTTGCACGTGAGAGACATCCTCTAATAGTGTTATTTTCGATCATTTTACAAAATTATTTATTTTTATATATTTTATAAAATAGTTCAGTAAGGGTAATTTAATCAACTTAGGGTTTAAATTTGTCAGAAGAACTTATTTGAACCAAATTGAAACTTTAAGGGTTTTTTTTACACATAAAAATGTGGTATGCATTGTAAGCATACTTTAAGGATATTTTTTTAACCTTTTTATTAAATAATCCCAATTTCATATAAAATAGTGTGGACTTTCAGGCTATGTTTCATTTTCTTCCGGGTATTTATGCCAAACACACATTTTTTATCACTTTTCATCACCTTTCCTTTTCTGCCTTTTCCATTGCACCAAACTGACCTTCAAACAATCCAGCAAAGAGGAGATTTCATTTCAAATTTTCAACCAAAGTGCTTGGGAGGGAACTGGCTTTAATTTACTCCCCTCTGTTTTTTCATTTCCTTTCTTTATTTGGTAACGCAAAAGCAGCATTAGAGCATCTCTAATGCTAAAACTTATTTTCGCATGCCAAATTTATATTTTGACAGGTGTGATAGTGCCAAAATGCTACTCCATTCGTCCCAATATAAGTGTCACTTATGGGGAGTAGTAATTTTTAAGGGGACATGTGGGACCATGTATTGTCTGTCTGAAAAATTATTAAGTTGCCCTTTTAAATTTCGAATATTAAAGTTTGAAATTTAAACTTAAAGGATATTTTTGGAATGATGTGAAATATATTGTTTGAAAAAGGAAAGTTGACACTTATTTTGGGACAGACAAAAAAGGAAAACATGACATTTATTTTTGGACGGAGGGAGTACATTTTAACCATTCTGCTCCAATGGTACATTTAACGTAAAATGTTATTTTTTAACACAACCACTGTTGTTTTTCAATTATCATTCCCACCGTTCATATTTGTAGGCACATTCCAAATCAAATTGTAGACATTAGAAGGAAATTAAAATTAAACCTAATTAAAAAGAAATACAAATCTAAAATATCTGGTCAAAAAAGGACAAAAAAAAAAAAAAAAAAAACAAATTTTTTATCACTATTTGTGAATTAATTTTTTTATATAATTTTTTTTTTCAAAAATTTATATATATAATATACATGTAGAGATGTGAGTGGGTGATAACCGGTGAGAAATGGTACCGTTTTGGAAAATGAAAGACTTGCCAAAGCCATATATGAAAAGAAATTTAAGAATCTTAAATTTTGAGATTCAAATTAGAGTCAATTGTAAAAGTTATTTTTTACCCAACTCGGTATTTTGAGTTTGAGAGCCAATTAAGAGAGCATCGGAGTTGCTCTTAGGACCAAGGATTTAAATAAAAGGACCAAAGCCCAACAAACGTAGCAAAAGATTCGCTGTTCGCCAAGCGAGCCAAAGTAGGGTTTCCAATGCGTCCTAAAGCAGTGGCGACCAGAGAAGATGACTACAAGTTCCTTCAGCTCGTAGACGCCTTGGCTTCCCTCAATCAGAAAGTCAACCTAATCGGAGTAGTCGTTGAGACCACTTCTCCAAAGAAGTCCAAGGGCACTGGTAACCCCTATACTACTAATAACAACATGTTTTTACTCTTCTCCTATCCTATGTCTATTTGAGACACTGCATAAGTGAGCCTTTAGAGAGAGAAACTGATTCTTTCTCCTGTTTAAGTTTGCTTGGAATGCTTTTTGCTCTCTTTTTCCTGTTTGTCTTTTTTTTAACAGTAACAAATCTCTTGGAAGATGTAATGACCGACATTTACAGAAAATGGCATTCTGGGTAATGTAGTACGGTCTAGAGAAATGATGCATACGGCCTTTGTGTAGTTTTTTGGGATGTGTTCCCCTTTTGAACCCTCTTTTTTGGGATGCATAATGACAGAATCGTAGTAAGTGATTAGCTTTCTTATCTTATTTTTTCTTAATTTTCAAGAATTGTTACCCTGCTTTTTGGCCAAAAATTCCGTCATCTGGATGTGTTGAATATTTTGGGATTTTGGTTTGTGGTCTAAGTTGTTATGTAGTTTGATCGAAAACCTAGACATATATTGGGAACAGCCTTAGCACATTGAAAATGGACTGGAAGATTTTGTAGCATGATCAAAATAGGAACTGACAGAACTTTTCTCTTCAAGCCTATCTTATTCCGATTCATGTATCCTTTGCATGAATCTTATTTTCTTCCTAAAACTTCTTCTCCACCACGCATCCCACAACTGAATGCTTCCAGAATTCAATTTCCTCTCAAGCATCATTAGGGATAACAATGACATCAGAATCCTTGCTTTCTTCCATATGAGTAAGGTTTTTGAATGGACTTTTTGTTGATTTTGAGAATAAAGTAAATAAACTTCTCGATGAGACATTTTGAGGAGAGAGAATCTGAGATGGAGAAGCTCCATTGACTCGTAGGAGGAGGGTATGCCATCTTCCATGGTTGAAGAAGTGTTGTCTACCTTGGGAAACCCTAGTAGTTAAAACCCCATCAACCACCTCTCTCAAACTCTCCTGATCACCCCCACCTCTTTGAACCTGCATTTCTTCTTAGGGAATTTGGCTCTAGGGGCTAAATTGTGGTCATTGTTTCGGGCTATATTTTTTTTTTCACCATCTTATGCTTTTTCATTAAAATACTATTAAATCAACAAAGGGTACAAATGACAATTACACCATCATTTAATAAACGTTTTATCACTAATGCTGATAGGTGGTGTTAGTGTAATTTTGGCCAAAAGTTTCATTTTTGTATTATTATGCTTAATCTTAGAATATATTTATGTAATTTACCTATATGTTCAAATTCTACATTATTATAGCTTTATATTGTTGCACAAATTCTGATAAAATTTTAATTTAGTTAATCGTATGCATATTGAAATTCCACTTTATGTTGCATATCTTGAGCTGATGGTACATTGATTTAATTGAATTCGTTTGTGAATTGAAAAAATAAATGTATATTGATTTAGCTAATCCAATTCGAAAAATTCTTTTATTTATATCTTGATTAGTTTTTTTGCATGGTTATGTTTTATTCCTCCAATTATAATTAATATGCATTTTTATCACACAAACAACATACTCAATCATGTTCATGCCTTACATTGTGCCTTGTGAAGTGTGCTTAGGTTTCAGGATACCTTGTCGCCTTTTAGTGAGCTTGAGTCTTTAACAACCATGCTCAGGTTGGTTGGATTAAGTTTAGTTGTTTGGATTAGTCTGTTTAGATTTAGGTTGGTTTGATTAGACTCGGGTTACGCTCAAGTTTGTCTTAGGCTAGTAATTTTTATACTTCCAGTCTATCATTAATCGTAATATATGTATGTTTGGAGGTTTGGGTTTACCCCCTGGTTGCTTGCCCGAACCCAATCTGAGGTTGAAAATTTTCAATCCCAGCTCAACCCATTGAAAAAGAAGCTAAATGTTCTAGCAATGGGAGGGTCTATCTTTAAATGTTCTAGAAATGCGAGGGTCTATCTTTTCTTGTGAGTCTGTCTGAAGAATCCCAAAGGCCTTGGATTTGCAAATCCACCTTCCCTAGAAGTTCTTCAGAAGGTTCCATATTGGAAATAATTATGCTTTTGTGGTACTAATGGAGTGGTTTTTAGTCAAATGAACCCACCTTCCATGATTTTGGTTTCTGTGATTTTCTAAATTTTGAGTAAGTTTATTTGTTATATTGACACTGAACAATATTTCCGCTGGCAATGATGACAAAAAGGCCGGACTTACGGCTGCTTCCATATGGTTGGTAGTAGATTGAAGAAAGTTTCAGCAAGGTACTTTCTGAGCCAGTTGGAATTATATTTGGACATTAATTTCCTGTGGTTTACTACAATTATTTATTTATTGATTTTTTTTTGGTTAATATTCATAGAAGGAGCTATAGAATCATTTTCTTATTACTCTCTCTATGTCTCTCTACTCAATTAAAGAAGGTGGGTACTGTTAATTGACCAAGAAATTTGAAGAAAATTAAAGAAGGTGGGTATTGTTAATTTACCACGAAATTTGAAGGAAACTTACTTTTGCACAGGTTTTTACCTTTGAAAAAATCATCTGTATTCACTAGCAGGAAAATCAGGATTTGATAAATTTGTATACCAATAAATTGCAATAAAGTGGGCATATTAAGAAGCTAAAGCACTCTACAATTAATTGGGTTATGTAATCTATGAATCAGCTTTTGTTGTCTGATGTGGGGAGCCACTTAGTTGTTTGTATTTTATAAACATGATGGTGTGTTCTTGGTGAATTCTATTTTTGTTGACTCAATCAGAGGTTGAAAAGTTCAATCCCAGTCCCACCTGTTGAAAAGAAGCTAAATATTCTATAATTGTGAGTGTCAATATTTTCTCATGAGTTTGTCTGAAGAATCCCAAAGGTCTTGGATGTGCAAATCTACCTTCCCTAGAAATTCTTAAGAAGGTACCGTATTGGAAATAATTGTGCCATGTGGTACTACTGGAGCAGTTTTTAGTGAGATCAACCTAAATTCCACGGTTTTGGTTTCTAGTGATTATCTAAATTTTGAGCAAGTTTGTATGGTATATTGACACTGAGCAATATTTCTGCTGGCAATGATGACAAAATGGCCGGACTTAAGTATTTTGGCCTTTGCCATTGATCCACAAACTTTCTTGATTTAATGATATACCTATTGAACACATACTCAAGTTGTTATCATTAAATTTACCCATTTATCCTTGGGATGAAACCTTGGGGGAGAGAATCTGAGATGGAGAAGCTCCAGTGACTCATAGGAAGGGGGTATGCTGTCTTCCATGGTTGAAGAAGTGTTGTCTACCTTGGGAAACCCTAGTAGTTAAAACCCCATCAACCACCTCTCTCAAACTCTCTTGATCAACCCTACCTCTTTGATCCTGCATTTCTTAGGGAATTTGGCTCTAGGGGCAAAATTGTGGTTTTGTTTTGGGGTAATATGTTTTTTTCATCATCTTATGCTTTTTCTTTAAAATACTATTAAATCAACGAATGGTACAAATGACAATCACAGCATCATTTAACAACCATTTTATTTGGGTGTTAGGGTAATTTCAGCCAAAAGTTTCATTCATGTATAATTATGCTTAACCTCAGGGGATGTTTATGTAATTTACCTATACATTCAAAATCTACATGATTATAGCTTTATATTGTTGCACAAATTCTGATAAAATTTTGATTTAGTTAATCATATGCATATTGAAAGGATTTATACTCAATGATGTACATTTATACTTGTCTTCTTGGTAAGTCAAAAATTCCACTTTCAAAAAGAATTTTGTTTAGTTATGTCGCAAATATGGTACATCGATTTAATGGAATTCATTTGAAAGTTGATAAGATATATGTATATTGATTTAGCTAATCCAATTCGAAAAATTCTTTTATTTTGATATTGACTAGTTTTTTTTTTTTTTTGCTTTAGCTAATCCAATTCGAAAAAATTCTTTTATTTTGATCTTGACTTGTTTTTTTTGCATAGTTATGTTTTATTCCTTCACTTATACTTGCTATGCATTTTTCACACACGCAACTGACTCCATCATGTCCACGCCTTACCTTGTGCTTAGGTTTCAAGATACCTTGTTGCCTTACCTTGTGCTTAGGTTTCAGGATACCTTGTTGCCTTAGTGTGCTTGAGCCTTTAACAACCATGCTCAGGTTTGTTGGATTAAGTTTAGTTCTCTGGATTAGTGTGTTTAGATTTAGGTTGGTTTGATTAGACTCAAGTTACGCTCAAGTTGGGCTTAGGCTAGTAATTTTTCAAAAATATACTACTGGCCTATCATTTATCGTAATAGATGTTTTCTGGGTTTGGGTTACCCTCTGGTTGCCCACCCAAAACCCAATCTGCGGTTGAAAATTTTTAATCCCAGTTCAACCCATTGAAAAAGAAACTAAATAGTCTTGAAATGCGAGTGTCAATCTTTTCAAACGAGTCTGTCTGAAGAATCCCAATGGCCTTGGATGCGCGTGCAACCCACCTTCCCTGGAGTTCTTAAGAAGGTTCCATATTGGAAATAATTATGCTTGTGGTACTAATGGAGCTGTTTTTAGTTAAATTAACCCACCTTCCATGATTTTCTAAATTTTGTGTTTGTATGGTATATTGACACAGAACAATATTTCCGCTGGCAATGATGACAAAAAGGCCGGACTTACGGCTGCTTCCATGTGGTTGGTAGTAGATTGAAGAAAGTTTCAGCAAGGTTTTTCTGAGCCAATTGGAGTTTATATATCGACATACAAATTTCCTTTGGTTTACTACATTTATTTATTTATTATTATTATTTTTTAAGTCATAGAAGGAGCTATAGAATCAGGTTTTACCTTTGAAAAAAATCATCTATATTCTCTAGCAAGAAATTTAGGATTTATATATATTAATATATTGCATTAAAGTGTGCATTTTAAGTAACTGAAGCACTCTAAAATTAATTGGGTTATGTGATTTATGAATCAGCTTTTGTTGTCTGATGTAGAGAGCCACTTATTTGTTTGTATTTTATAAACATGAAGGTGTGTTCTTGATGAATTTTAGGTTTGTAGACCCAATCAGAGGTTTAAAATGTCAATCCCAGCCCTAGCCGTTGAAAAGTGCTAATTATTCTATAATTGGCGAGTGTCAAATCTTTTCTCATGAGTTTGTCTGAAGAATCCCAAAGGTATTGGAAGTGCAAATCTACCTTCCCTAGAAATTCTTAGTAAGGTACTGTATTGGAAAAAGTTGTGCCATACGGTACTACTGGAGCAGTTTTTAGTGAGATCAACCCACATTCCACGGTTTTGGTATCTAGTGATTATCTAAATTTTGAGCAAGTTTGTATGGTATATTGACACCGATGGCAATGATGACAAAAAGGCCGGACTTACTCCCCTTTTGAACGCTTTCTAATACAATCTTGTCAAAAAAAAAAAAAAAAAAAAAAAAAAAAGGCCGGACTTATGGCTGCTTCCATGTGGTTGGTAGTAGATTGAAGAAAGTTTCGGTAAGGCACTTGTCTGAGCCAGTTGGAGTTATATTTGGACATATATATATATATCCTTTGTGGTTTATTACAATTATTTATTTGTTTTTTTTTTTTTTGGTAACAGTCATACAAGGAGCTATAGAATCATTATCTTATTACTCTCTCTATCTACTCAATTAAGCAAGGTGTTTATCGAATTGACAATGAATTTGAAGGAAAAAATACTTTTTATTATAAAAAATGTGACAGGTTTTAGCCTTAAAAAAAAATCATGTGTATTCTCTTACAAAAAAATTTAGGATTTAATATATTAATATATAGCACTAAGTGTGAGCCTTAAGCACTGATGCACTCTACAATTTAACTGGGTTATTTAATTTACGAATCAGCCTTTTAATGTCTAATGCGGAGAGCATATTATTTATTTGTATTTTATAAACAGGAAGGTGTATTCATTTAGGAAAAAAAAAAGAAAAAAAGAGGAAGGTGTGTTCTTGATGAATTCTAGTTCTGTTGGTATGTGCATTCTACATTATAGTGTCTAGTGGAGTATGGAATGTGCTGTGCATGTAAAAAGTTTGGAGCATAACAAGATGCTTACCATACATTACAATTTGCTTCATGTATGTTAAGCCCTTTTCTTTCAATTAATAGTAAATGATGTCTCAAGCATCTCTATTTACATGCTTCTACTGACCCTCAATTGTTAAATTCAGCTACATTAATTTATTCCACTTCAGTCCAAATATCAAATTTTGATGATTGCTATGCAGATTGTTTTTGTAGACTAAGAATAGTTGATGAATCAAATTCAAGTCCTGGGATTTTTGTCAATGTATTTGCCGAGAATATGGAAAAGCTCCCTCATGTAGAGTCGGCTGGAGATATAGTACTGTTTTCTCGCGTTGTGGTACTCCCTTCTTGCAAATTCTTCTGAAGTTTTATATATTTGTCTCCCTAATGCTTTTCTAAGCCAATATTTACTTTGATTAATATTCTATTTCTTGCAATCTGTCAATAATTTTTTTTTTATTATTCAGATTCTCTCATCTTCGTACTGAGTTTATTGTACTAGTGAAGATTTCATGTATCATTACTTACTTTTCTAATAAATATAAAAGGGTTATTTGGTCAGATAATATTAAAAAAGTGGCTGCAGTGTCTTGTATTTTGTTCTTGAAAACCGTAACAAGTTCATCCTTCCATCTAAAATTGTTTTTTAAATGATTAATGTTTTTTTTTTTTTCTTTCCCTTCTTCTTCTTCTTCTTTCCCCAATATGAATGACATCATAAGACCATTTGCTTTCATGAGATCATCATATTTAGATTTGTATATTTCAGAGTATCATAGTATTCAATAACAGCCTATTACAAATTTTATAAAAATTCGTATTGATAGAATGTTGTGTCATGGTAACTGCAATGGCCATTCCAATTACACTAAACATTGGAATACCTCCCAATTGATCCGTTATAGGATCCCAAGTTCAACAACCTGGGGATGTCAATTGAGAGAAAATTCATGTGGCCGACCACATTCATATGGGATTACTACATTCATATGGGATTAAGGCATATACGATGATGATTATGATGATGATGATGAAATTCAACAACCTTTTAATGAATTTTTTTCTGGTCTTTTCTTGAAGTCACTTATCAAGTCAATCTCCCCTCCCTACCTCTTCTTCTTTTCTTCTTTTTTGTTCTTTACATGCAATGCCTTTTAGATATTTTAATGTGTTTATTGATAGTTTCCATTGTGGTATGTTTCTATGCAGATAAACACTTATAGTGGGGAAGTATATGCTCTTTTTAACAGAAGGTTCTCTTCATTTGCTCTATTTGAAGGGATGCATAGTACAAACCTTGTTCCTTATCAAGTTTCTTCAAATTTTTGCCCTAGAGAACACGACAAGAAATTTATAATGGGCTTAAGAAAGTGGTTGGTGGTCGATTACCCCTTAGAGATAGGTATCATCAGAAATCTTCGATTCTAACTTGCAATCGGTTCTTTCCGTTTACTATATGAAAATTTTCACTTTAGACTTGTGGATTGGAAAGTCTTTGGTATGTGTATAAAAATAATGATTGATCCTATTTATGTATCTATATTGATTGGTCAAACTTACTCATATATATGCACCCAAATATCTTGAGCATCACGATAAAGATCAATTTAGAGTTTTTATAATCACTTTTCGTTTTACTATTATATATATATTTTCCTGGGATTTTTTTACTATTATATTTTTTCCTTCTTATTATTTTTTTATTTTTATCCACTTGTGGTGAAAATTGACTGGTATGTGAAGTTAGCACACTTGCAAATTCCGGCCCTTTAAAGCTACAACACTATAATTGGTAATTGTGTTATTTATTTATTATTATTTTTTCCTTTTAACTAGTAGGGTTAAATAAGCTACTAATTGATCTAAGGGTGATTAGAAATCTCTAGAAGGGAGCTTTGGGATAGACTTAGGGTTTGTAAGGATTTTTGATGGATTAAAGTGTTTTTTGTTCAATATAGTAAATTAATGTTGTCTTGCATGAACTTTAAGAGAAAAGAAGATAGGAAGATGAAAATGAGGAAATAATATACTAATCTAAGTAATTTATCGGCGCGCACACAATATTGTCATATATCTACACACATTGGATCACATAAGATATAGATGGTCAAGATGTAATTTAAAAAATGGTGTTGTATTGTCCAGTGATGAGGGACGTTTGGTTTATGTTTTTGGCGAATTTTGGCATGCATTAGGCATTTCCAGACTCGAAGTGGACATGATCAAGGCTTGGAGAGGGTGTATAGTAGGTAGCTGAGCCTGAGATGCTTGGAGGGTCACACCCCTTTGTTTATGGTGGGGCTTGTGGTGGGAGAAAAATAGGAGGTCCTTCGATGGGGACAGACCCCCTATTTGGTCTCTCTAATACTTCATTGAGTTCTTCAATTCTTTTGGGTTAATGGGTGGAATTGTAAATCTTTGGGGGATTTCGTGGATTTTGTTGCTAGTCTTAGATTATAGATGGTTTTGTTGGTCATTTTGTGTTTTTTTGTTGGGACTGCTTCCCTCTTTATCGCCTTTAATGAAACTGTACCTACACAAAAAAAAGGGCGAAGGTTAATTTTTGCTGGAACCTTATATTATAACCCCTTTTCCAAGACAACTCAAATTGAGTTGGAAGCTGGGAGAAAGAGAGAGAGAAGATTAGAGACATTTTGACCGCCTGAAACTTCAAGGATTCAATTTCATAAGTTGATGTTCTTATTCTAATTTTAAGGTTTTGTATTGTAAATATTGCCATCACATTGAATTGAAAGTTTCTTTGGGATCATGTGATTGATTAGTTATTATTGCAATATGAGATTTTTTTTTTTTGAACCATCTTTAGGCAAAAATGATATGATGTTGTTGGCCCGGGTCGTGTTTCGACCTGAGAGATGGGCTTTGTGTAACCCATTTTTGCTTGCGGGTCTTGGACCATGTTTAGTACTCTCTTGTAGTCTGGTATACAAGGGCGTTTATTGTTTGTAGTGGGATAATGACAGAACACTGAAAATCACAGGAGAGAGAGAGAGAGAGAGAGAGAGAGTGCTATTGTTTAGGGGCTAAAACTTGTAATCTCCTGATTTTTGGCTCTTCATTGTGAACGTAGGCTTTGCCGAACCACGTATATCTTTATGCTCTTAGTGTGTGGTGTGTTTACTTTTCTGTTGTGATTCTTGATTGCGTTCTTGGTTCACGGCGTTTGTCAGAACAAATGATATTTAAAAATAAGATCTAATCATTTGAGTTTATTAATATAATTCTCATATTTGGATTTTGTTACTCATAATGACGCATGATTAGAATCTAGGGCCCAAATGAAGAAAAGTAAAACGGCTCCTAAAAATAATTAGGGTAGAGAGAAAAGGGGACACAATATTGACAAAAATATCGTAAAAGGAGTCAAAATCTTGAAGCTTAGTGGTGCCTAATATCCAAGACATCCAAACGATAGATTACATATAGCTGGCTGCTGGCAAGAGTTGAGGTAGGGTTTTAGCAAGAGCAAAGAACAGAAGACCTTGGACTTATCAAAAAAAGAAAAGAAAAGAAAAAAAGAACAGAAGGCCTTGGAATGGAATAGTTGGATCTGGGAGGAAATTAAAGATTTGTATCGAATAGATATCCGTGGTGTGTCAATAATGATTTCATTGTCAATCAAAATTTTCACTAAGAATTCTTTTTCTCGTAGAGATTAGTTGAAGTCCCTAAATTTTATTGTTTCAAACTTGCATGACTTCAGAATGATTTTGGTGAAGAAATTAATTTTGCTTGCATTCTTGTGAAATTTCAATTTATTGAGTTGCTTTATTTGTTGTTTGCACTTTCATTCCTGATGGAAATTCATTTGGAGCTCATCTAGCAATTATCTTTAGCTTTTCATATAACATATTCATAACTGTGATAAACTACATGTGGGTATCAGACTGCTATGAAACTTTTAGAGATTTAATCTCCCATTCAAGGGCCTTTAGACTTGTTGATTTGCTAAAGCCCCCACAAACTCATCTTTATAACACGGAGTGTACAAAGTCATAAAATTCTTCATAATAAGAAGAAAATAATAGTTATAATAATTATTTTGTTAGTGAAGCTATTCACTAGTAGTGTGGTTTGAATTTGGTGTTCTACAGTTCTACTTATGACTTACGTATAATTTATTTATTGAAAATTACTAATTTGCTAACATTAGATATGTAGATTAGCAACTGAATTTTATTAAGTTATTAAGTTTTGCAGAGAGTTCACTAGAACTTTAAGGCAATTAAAATTTGTTAACCATGAAAATCAATGAAGCAGCAGAGATTTCTTAACTTATACCTTTATATACAAAATGGTTGCTTGGTTTGAACTTCAAATACATATCTTAAGCATATTACATGGTGTTATTAAGGGAATTCCAAATTTCCCCCTTTTGCATTTTTGTAAAGACAGAAGTGTGTCAATGTGTCTCTTTGTGAACAATTGGCGAAGAGTGAAACTTATTGATTCAAGATCAAGAATCTGATGCTCCTTCAGTTTCTTCTTGTTTTCATTATTATATAAGTATCTAATTCAATCACCTTCAAGGGGCTTACAGTAAAAGATAGAAAATTATTCATCCAGGTAACCTAGAGGATCTGGTCTTTTTACCAGGTCTTAATAATTAATTTTTTACTAATTACGATATATAGGTTATGTGATAGGGAGCTTGGATAAATGTTATGTTTGATTGAAAACCATATATTGTCATTAAGTATCGGTAATTGTTAAAGGTTTATTTGCTATGTTTTCTCGAAATATGGAATACCTTTGTGCATATATATATATATATATATATATATACATGTTTGTAGATGCATTGTAGAGACACACACCTACACACCCGCACATGTCATAACCTTCTGGTAATTCGTTCAACCAATTTAAACTGGGAAACTCTGGTGGTAATTTTGTTTTCTGACATTGTATCTTAAAGTATGCTCTTGAAACAATTTTGCTCATTCTGTTATAGTTTCCAATTCTGGTTCATTTCTGTCCATGTTAGGGTCAAATGAATCCTTATCATTGAAAGAGATAAGGGAAGGAGAACGCCTTAATTTGATTTGCAAGGTAATGCAACCATGTTTGGTATTCTTTAATTCATTTGGGTGGTTATTTAACTCTAGCATAGAAGGTTTTTGAACTTTCTATTTGTCTTTATTAATGAAGTTTTAGAAATTGATTTAACTATCTTTTTTTTTTTTTTTTTAAATATTTATCATTGCTTATTTTGTCTTTTCTTTTGGCCATGCTAAGGTTATTCACATCTGTGAAGTTGCTAACGAACAGTGGATGGCCTTTGTTTGGGATGGAACTGACACTCCACCAGTTGCTATTCCATCAAAGTGAGTGCTTTCACATCAACTATAAGTTTGGTTTCTAAATACACACTGATATGAAACTTTCTCACTGGGACTAAAAATTGTACAACAGTGAGTAGCAATACAGCAAGCAAATAAGACAAGCAAAGTTCTCAGCTATATTTGGTATCGCTTTCTATGCATAGAAAATTGAGAGTTGGACTTTATTTGTTTTTCAAGTAGTACATGTGACAAGTTGGGGTATTTGTCGACGGGGATAAGGAGTTCTATTCTCTCTGCATGTTATCATAGTTGAAGGACTAGAACTACTATTACAATTACTCTTCTTCCTCTTCTTATGTATAATGACAGTATAATGCAGTGAACCCTAATCTCTCCATTATCTTCTTCTTCTCCTACTTTATACTCCTTCCTTTTCCCTCTTTTTCTTTGCTTTTCTTTAAAACTGGACCTAGCACGGCACATCTTTCTAGTCTTAAGATAGGGCATGGTGTAGGAACACCTCATGTTCCAGTCAGTTACTGATGTGATTCATACAGGCTGATGTCATTAGTTGTCATGATTTGATCAGACCAAGCGGGGTCATCTTCTTTTCGTTGGTTTACTCATGAAATTTGAGCCTAAGTTGAGATAATATAATTAGCCAGGTTGAAATATCTTTTATTAACTTCTTAATGAATACCTAGAATCATCTATGGAAATGCACATGTAAATGCAACATTTATAATGCATAAAGAAAAGACAAAGTTACTTGTACATTTTGCCGAACACATGGTGTGCAAGTAGGTATCTAATGAAAAGACAATTGTAAACTCAATATCAAATAGTCACAAAGTGAAGACAATGCAAACTAATCTTATTATCAGACACTTGGCATGCAATCTGTTTTGAGCAAATGGAAATTCAAACAAAAGATTAATTACTCCAAGCAACACTATCTACTCAATCCAAGCATACATCCCATACTCATACATTCAACCCAACCAAACAACTCAATCCAAACATACATCCAATTCTCTTTTTCTATGTAGATGAAAATTCAGCAAGTAAAAATGCAAGAGCAGAATTAACTTAGCAAATGTAAATAGAGGTAAGGGTAGAGAAAATGCAAACCAAAGACACCAAGTTTTTCATGGTGTAGCAGCCCCCGCTACCTACATCCATGCCTCAAGAACTTCTTGAGGATTCCACTATCTCACACTTTACCAGGTAGAGAAGAGAACTTTACAATGGTCCTTTTCCTAGGCTCAAGACCAACCTTCCCTTTTACGGGCGCAGTGAGAACCCATTTCTTTTTCGGTCTCACGAGCAAAATCCACTCACCTTCACGGGTGGAGAGCAAACCCAATCAAGCTCCTCGAGCTATCCTTGGCCCAATGTTATCAAAGGCCCAATGTGCACTAAGGCGCTAGAGGTCCTTTGGGCCCTAGGCACAAAGCGATGCATGTGCCTGACTGAAGCAAGGTGCATAATTGAAAAATTAAATTACTATTAAAGTATATTCATATTTCATATTAAAGCTGCAAATGTTGTCACAGGTGCACTGGACACACAACAGGCTCCAGTATTGCGTTTGTATGAGCCTAGAGCCTAGGCGCTCCTTTAACAACACTGTTCCTTGCTAAGCGAGCAGCACTTACCTAGACTTCCATTTCTGCTCTGTATCTCTTCAAAGATGGATATAAAGTCAGCACATACAATGATGTCCCTCCATGGACTGCTTTGACAAATACAAGCTCAAATCCTAGTGTTGTAGAAGAAGTATTCAAGAGAAAGCTCAACTCTAGGTTTGCAAGATGAACTACAATGAATGATATGCAATGTGAGGTTCTATGGTGGTTCCCATAAGAGATATTCTACCAAATAGATAGGAATTCTATGCTCCATGGCAGATTTTGCCAATCAATAGATTTTCTGATTTTTGCCCAGAGGGAGCTCTCTCTCGCTCTCTTGCACCCCTAAAATGTCCAAGACATTGGGCATATATAGGCCAATTCAAAACTAGCCGGTTTCGACTGTGGGAGACATAAGGGGTGTTTTGAAATTCATTTTTCTGTTCTCGGTTTCGGTCAGCCTGCATGTAAATGACAACTTCGAAAGGCCGTATGTCACTCATTTTAAATCCAAATCAGGCCAAATTTGTCTCTAAATTGAAGTCAGATTTCCAATCGAATTGGTCTCACTAAAAAATTCCAACGGTCCAACCACATAGAAAGTTATGGTCGTTCAAGTGCTCTCAGGTCCTGCATTCATGTGGGCTGATTTTTGCTTATTACTGAGATATCCATTTTACTAGCAACTATGACCGTATAGTATGGTTTAATTAAGTTCAAGACCCATTGGTAAAAGCCTAGGGACCATTAAAATGATATGCATGAGGTGCATTGGGTCCTAGTGTCAATCTAAGTAAAGGGTTGAGCTTTCAAATGAAGTTATTTCGAAAATAACTTTACATTAATTTCTAATACTCTTCCAATGGCCAATACTAACGTACCCAATTCTTGATCTTCAATCTTGAGCTTTCGGGCTGATCTTCTAACTTCTAAGGCCTGGATCCACTTTGACTTTGCCATTCATTATCTTTGATGCGTAAGCTTTGAGTGGTTTCTTGAATTTGAATCTTCATGCAAGTCCTTTGAAGTCCAAGGCCTTTGCTCTTGAATTTGATAGTTGACTTTAGGTTCCATGAGCTTGATCCATATTTGATTTTTGAACATTTAATTCCGTGGATCTACTTTGTACTTGAGTTTCATAGAATATCCTGAAAATCACAACACTAACGTAGACTATTAAATTCCCACAGTAATAGGTTGTAATCATCAAAATCACCAAGTTTCACCAACGGGCAAGTGGCCCAGTGGTACCAGGCCCCTACTTCTCAAAGGGAGGTCAGGGGTTCGAGCGTCAGTGGAGGCATGGGTGTGTGAGTACCAAGGAAAAAAAAAAAATCACTTAGTTTCACTTGGCTTGAGACCTTGGGGCCGACACAAGCCATTAGCATATAGTCTTTTGATTGGCTGTTTTGAGGAGGTGGTGATGTTTTTTCTTACTTTTTTGCTTTTAGTGGCTATGTAGCTCAAGAAGTCCTCAAATAAGGTTCAAGTCCTTCTGTTACCCGCAATCATTCGTAAATTACAGGTATCAGGTAAGCTCAGGATGAAAGCTTAATTCCTCAGTAGTTGAACCCAATACCTATTGGTCATGTCCAGAGGCCTTATCTTGCCTTCTGCTTTTATAGAATAAGAAAGAAATAAGTGCATTCATTAAAAGTTCTCAATATGCCAATTGAAGGAAAGATTAAGGGAAGTTGATTATGATTGTGCTGCCATGTGCAATAACTGATAAATGCACAAATATGAAGGGATGGTTCAGTTCTTGGTGAAGGTATCAAGAGGAGAAGAGCAAGGCTTAACAGTTCATAATTTAATGTCATTAGAAAAACATGATATCCAAAATTTTTAACAGAACATGGCTCTCACAGTTGGGCCGAGTGGAGTAAGTGATACCTATCATCGACTGTAGATGGCCACAGTTAAGTTTTTGTTGTGTTGCGCTAGTATTGAAGATTGTTGTGTCCATCGGTCCATTATCTGCATTCCTTGTATAAGTTGGGTTTGTTTTACAACTGTGGATGCCATCACTTGCAATTTGAATTAATTCCTACTGGGAGCAGTACAGCTTTATTGGTCCCTGCCGTGGGTTGCCTTTGCACCTGTTGACATTATAGTGCTTTGTATATGTTCCGCATTAAAGGATGGTATTGGTTGTGTTTATTTGGATTGATTGAAGGTTGGAGTGAAAACTTAATCTGGTTTCTTTGAGATATTTCATTCTTTGCTTACTTGGGTGCTTGGAATCTAGAGAAATTCTTTATGAATTTTGACCAAATAACTGAATCACCATGCTTTAGTTGCTAAGTGTCTCCAGTTGGTTTTCTTTCCCATTTAAAAATTTTATACTATCATAACTGTTAATTAAATGGAAGGAAAAAAATGGAAAGGTATCCTCAAATTGCAATAGATCAAAATTAGCAAAATGATGTATAATTTGGTGAGGAAGTTAATCTGGTGCTAGAGTAAACTGCTAGTGTGATTTAAGAGTCTAAAATATGATCCATTTCCATTTTGAACCTTAACATCTTCATGTTTCTTTCCTTATTTTATCCCTTCTCAGTAAGACAGTGGCACCCAAGGTGAAAAAAGAAGTATCAGGAGAAGGGAACAGAAGAAAATAAATTGAATTCAAGTCTTCGGAAGATTAGTTAAAAAAAGTATTTGTAAAACAAGGAAAAAGTTAATAACATGTATTCTATTAAGAGAATACATTCTTTAGAATGGTTTCTTAACAAGAAACCATGACATAATCTTGCTATGATAGATTAACACAAACAACGGAAAGAGATTAAGTTGGTACATGTGCATACCTTTTGGGAAAAAAAAAATTGTATAACTACCATATGATGTAGCTCCCCATGACTTAAGAAACCCTAATATCATTATTTCAACAAAATGAGACTTTTTCTTTTTCTGTTTTTCTTAAGAGAAAAAATATGGAGATGAATAACGTGTTATGGAAACATCATACAGATTCTTCATTGGGGAAAAAATAAAAAAACTGAAGTGTTGATGTTATTGGAGATTATGACATGTAGCAGCCTGCAGAGGGAAAGGCTTCCTATTTACATTGTGTATGCTAGACTGGTTTTCTATTTCAAAATCTGTGTGCATTAAACTTAATATTTCTCTCTCTCTCTCTCTCTCTCTATATATATATATATATATATATATATTAGCTTCTTTCTTTGTTCAATTTTATTCTATTCTGTTGGTTAATTAGAATTTAAATTAATCTGGTCCTTCCTGTATGGCTGTATGTATGCCTTAGAATAGTTTACTCTGTGGATCACTATCTATGCTCTGCCTGACTAAATAAAAACTACCTACCTTTTTCATCTGTCACAACTTGTAGGTTTCAAACATGTGTTTGGTGTACATAATGATCTGGATTTTTGCACCAACATTTCTGGCAGCTTTAATTCTTCTTCAATGTTTGAGAAGTTGGGTATGTCGTAGACTTCCTGCGGTGTATGCTTGTACTAAAATAACTTATTACTAAATTCCTGCCTTATAGTTTATTGAAGCCATCAAGACTGGACAAAGAATTTCTCAAGATTTTCCTTAAAAAAGATCAGATATATAGGCGCAGATTGGTTCTTTTGGAATATGTTTTAGCGAGAAAATTTCTCTTCATAACTGTTTCCATTTTGGCATTAAAAAATTTAATATTCTGCAAAAGACCTGTAATGCCGCTAATTGTAAATTGCAGGCTAGAAGATGAAATGGAAAACCCACTCCCTTTACTATTGGAACCGTTTCCTTTGTCCAGAGATATTTTATGTACATTTCCAGCTGTTGGAACCGTCTTAAGAGTAATTGTTAATCAAGGCAATGAGAAGCTTGGCCTTCACTTGCTAAAATCTGGTAGATGGGTAAAATTCATTAACATAATTTTTGAACATTGTTCTGGACTGTGGCGTGGTTTGCTGATGCCCTTCACTAAGCTCCGATACTGGCCCAATGATGACCATCTTGTATTGAAGTCCCAAAGGTCATTGGTACTTCCATTGAACACATGCTTAAATAGAAATGTGTTGTCTTTTCCATTTACTATATTTCTTACTGAAATTTGATTATTATTATTATTTTTTCATTTCATCCATGCAATTCAGCTTCTATAGTGAACGGATTCAATCAAAATGGGCAAGGATGCCATTTTGGAGTTTTCCTTGGTCTTCTCATATTGCAGGTTCTATATTATTTATTTGTTGATGCTGAAACTATTCTATTATTTGGGTTTCTAGTTTGTTGGTCCTATATTCTTGTAGGGCTGTAATGGTAATGATCTGTGTTGTGATGTCCATTCTTTCTACTCAGAGACTGATTACGAGGATGTGCCTTTTGTTACTTTAATGAATGTTCTCACTTATTCAGAGGTATTGTATATATTTCCTGTGAAATCCTTTCTTTTATTTTTCATTTTCTAAAATGTTTGCGGACGTGTATGTCTTTAATCATGAAAACAAGTTCCCCCACAAAAAATGTCCACCTTTCCATTTTTGGCTGTCGCAAAATAATTGTCCCAATTCAAAATCCAATGTAGTATTTTTATAATATTCCTAGTTTGCCCTCCTTGCCTTGAAGTTATAAAATCAATGACCTCATGTGGACCCACCATAGAAGGGTATATTTGGAAATTCATTCTCTCTACCACTACGATAAAAAAAAATTTAAAACTACACTTCTAAAAAGTTAGGTTTCCCAAAATAGACGTTTTTTGTGGGATGGAGGGAGTATTTGTTAAGGCTGCGTAATTGTTCTCTCTTCATTTATGTCCCTGGAAATGTATGCGTCCTTCACTTTATTCGGCCACAAGTCGCTGATTTTATTTCCATTTTCTACTGCTTAAATTCCATTACACGAACAATTTGTTCTGTACATCGAAAATAGTGACATGGAAAGAGTGTATAAGCAGAAAAACAAGGAAGGGAGGGCTGCAGAATATTAGGCGGCTGGATTGGAAGAGGGTGCAATTACACATCATTTGGTTGAACTTCGTTAAATTGTTCTTTGAATTGCAGAAGCAGCAATTCATTTGCTTCTTTGTTTCTTTATATTTTTCATTTTAACTAAGTAGTGCTTATATGATAAAATCTTTTTTTTTTTTTTTTGATAAGTAATAATAAATTAAAAAAGGCGTTCAATAGGGGAACGCGTCCCATAGACGTAAAGGAAACCGGGAACTAAGGCCCCAAAGAATCCAAAAAAGAAATTAAATCATCAGAAGAGGAACAGGATCTTCCGTTCACATAACTGAAGAGAGAATGAATAATACAAAGTTTTAATGTCGCTGTAGACGACTCATTTCCGTCAAACATTCTACTATTTCTCTCCCTCCAAATGCACCACCAAATACAATGCGGTGCAGATCTCCAATAATCATGAACACTTCTACCCACATGACAACCTCTCCAAGCATGAATCAGCTCCTTGGTAGAACGTGGCATTACCCAATACATGCCAAAAAGCCCAAGAATAAGATTCCAACAGTCGTGCACTACAGAACAATGCATTAGGAGATGATCAATTGACTCCCCATTCTGCTTACATATGCAACACCAATTAACAAAATAATTTCCCCTTTTCCTCAAATTATTGATCGTCAGAATTTTACCCCAAACGGCGGTCCATACAAAAAAAGCCACCCTAGTAGGGGCCATAGAACACCAAATAGCCTTCCATGGAAAATCAGAGGGTGCAAAATTAGACAAACATAAGAACAAAGACCTTACTTCAAAACGACCGTGAGAAGAGGGAATTCAAATCAAATTGTCATAAGCCCTGCCAATTCCTTCCTGCCGATACAATTGATCCAAGAAAATGCTCACATCATCTAACTTCCAATCTTGAAAAGAACGCCGAAAAAGAACATTCCACGTAATTCCACTATTATCAAGCTGATAACAGTTAGCTACGGTGGCATGTCTATCAATTGCAATACTGAATAATTTAGGGAAAGTACGACATAAAGGCTGATGTCCACACCAAAGATCTTCCCAAAAACGAACACGACTGCCATCACGAACTCTAAATCTAACATGAGTAGAAAAGGCATCCCATCCTTTCCGAATGGATTTCCAAGCCCCAACTCCTCCCGCAATAGAAACCGGACGTGTAGTCCATCCTCCAACATCATCCCCATACCTGTAGGAAACTAATCTACGCCAAGGGTGATGTGTTTCTTTCCCGTATCTCCACAACCACTTACCCAAAAGGGCTTGATTAAAAGGAATCAATCGTCTAATACCGAGACCTCCCAGTTTTATAGGCTTGCAGACTTGCTCCCATCGAACAAGGTGATACTTGAACTCTTCTCCCCTTCCTCCCCAAAGGAAATTCCGTTGAATTTGTTCAATTCTATTAGCAACGGAACATGGGATTTGGAACATAGAAAGAAAATAAGTGGGAAGGCTTGATAAAGTGCTCTTGATAATAGTAACTTTACCCCCTTTTGACAAATATTGCTTCTTCCAACCTGCCAACCTCTTTGCATACCTATCAATCACAGAATCCCAACTCCCTACTAATCTGGGAGAAACCCCTAGGGACAAACCCAACTAAGGAATAGGAAAGGAACTCACCCTACACCCAAGAACTGCGGCAATAGAAGAGATGTCCTGAACATTCCCAACCGGAACAAGCACACTCTTGGCCACGTTAACCTTAAGCCCTAAAACTGCCTGAAAGCAAGCCAGAATACATCTCAAATATCTAAGTTGAGACACTTTTGCATCACAAAAGACCAGAGTGTCATCTGCAAATACAAATGAGAAATCTCCACCTGATTTGCAATATCTCTTCCCACCCGAAATCCTTTGATGAGATCAAGATTCTGTGCCCGACGCATAAGTCTGCTTAAACCCTCCATAACAATATAATAAAATCTTAAAAACAGATATACTTAATACTTCTTACTGAGAAAGAAATTATTGTGGGTCATAGTTCTTGAAGATGGTTGTGGTGGTAATGGTGGTCACGTGCTATAGTGGTAGTGATGTAGGACAAATTATTAATTAGATTTTTATTTTATTTTATTTTATTTTTTATAGCTTTTTTAGAGGAAGTTTAATAACAGATAATTTCTTTATATTTTTAGTTTCCTTGTATTCTTAGGTTTCTTTATGTTCTAGTTTCCTTTACCGTATTAGGGTTTTTTTTCTGTATTATAAATATATATGTAAGCAAGAGTAAAATTTGAACCTTTTATGTTCTAGTTTCCTTTACAGTATTAGGGTTTTTTCCTTATTTAAAAATATACGTAAGCAAGAGTAAAATTCAAACCCTAATACTGTAAAGGAAACTAGAACATAAAGAAACCTAAATATATAAGGAAACTAAAAATATAAAGAAATTACCTATTACTAAACTTCCTCTAAAAAAAAACTATAGAAAGTAAAATAAAAATCTAATTAATAATCTGTCCTACATCAGGTAGTGGAGCAATGACTGCAATGACACGATGATAGAAAAACTTATAATTCACCTTCCCAAAAAAAACTTCGACTTCAAAATCCAATTAATCTTTATTTTAACTAAGGAAATTGGTCAATTGGACTACAAAAGACTTTGACTGAGCTTGAGCATTTTAAGGACCGATTAGAATATTACTACGGCTTAATTTTATTTTATTTTTGGCAGTGCGTCCATATTACTTTACAAACCTGTGTGCTCATTGTGTGAAATTAAACATTATGGATGATTTATAATTTTACATTGAATTAGATGTTTTATAGAAAAGAAGTATTCTTACAGCTTTGTTACATTGAGCTCACAATCATTACATTGATGCTGCATTTAGCATGGAAAACACCTTGAAATTGAAATAGGAGAAAAACTAGTTTGACGTTTGAACTAATATATGGTCTTCTCATTCACCATTATTGCTCTCTCAACCGAGTTTAATATGTGGACTTCAATTTTAATTTCAGTCGAAGAAAAATACATTGCTCCTCCTTCATCAGTCTTACAAATATATGTGCTCAGTTTGTTACATTAAAACACAATGGATGATTTATATTGACTCTGAAGTTTGATGAGAAAATGAATATTCTTATAGCTTTGTTACATTTGGCTAGATTCACAATTGTAACATTGATGCTGCTTTTAGTAGCATGGAATCTACTCCTTTGAATGGGAATTGGAGAAAAACTAGTTTAAAATTTGAACTAATATGGTCATTTTTTGTTACATTTGGCTAGATTCACAATTGTTACATTGATGCTGCGTTTAGTAGCCTGGAATCTACTCCTTGGAATGGGAATTGGACAAAAAGTAATTTAAATTTTGAACTAATATGGTTGTTTTCTTATTGCTTTGTTACATTTGGCTAGATTCACAATTGTTACATTGATGCTGTGTTTAGTTAGTAGCATTGAATCTACTCCAACTCCCAATTCCAAAACACATATTCCATGCTACCGAAGATAACATGAGAATTATTATTATGTTTTTGATGTAGAAGTTCATTAAAGAGCAGCAAACAAAGGGGGTTGATTCCTAGTACAAGGGGAATGCACAAGAGAATTGTAACATTTTTGCTTAAAGAAACTGCTAGAATATACTTTTTGCTGGGACTGAATGTGGCTTAATTTTTCTTCTAGCTAATAAATTTATACCTTACAGGTAACAGCTAAATTCAGGTGTGTGGTTCGAGTCATTGCAGCATTTCCATGGCAAGCTGAGGACTTCTGCTCTCCCCTTGGGACATATAGGATTAGGCTTACCCTAGAGGATCCAACTGCTAGAATCCATGCTTTTCTGTATGCTGAAGATGGGGTAAGGACTTCTGCCACATTGATTTTTATGCTTTGATCGTAATATCTTGATTATACATCTCCAAACGGCCCTGGAATAGAATTTCTGTATAATGCTAGTATCTATCTACATATCTGTCTCACACTTCCCATTTGACCATACTCTCTTTTACTTTTTATTTTCTAAACAAAGTAATATCTTAAATTTTTTAATATTTTTGTGTAGTTTGCTTCTTCCTGCTTATGCTATTTAATGTGTTAGAATATTATGTTAAAACCCACTGGATGATTTTTGAAATTGTTTTCCTTGAGTGCTTTTTGCGCCACCAATGTTGTAAATGTCATAAAAAGCTTTCACAAAGTCTCATTTTCATTTGACAATTATAGTCGAACGAGTCTTTGAATAAATTCTCCATAGAGCCCGGCAGTGGAAATATTCCTTAAATCAGATAACATTCTGCAGCATGATACTAATACTTCAGATGAGTCGAGCAAGGATTCATTTACTTAAACAATATTTGGTGAATGAGCATGACTCCATGACTCTGAAAGCTCTTCTAGCAAATTGTGCAGAAGAATTCATTCTTTGCTTTGATATTGGACTGTTGTTTATTGCTATTGTATCTGAACTTCAATAGAATATAGTTAATTGTTGTGATCATGTCGTCTTCGCACATGATAGGAGAAATTTTTTGGTGGCTATCCTTCCGTTGATGAAATGACAAGGAAGCGAAACATATTGCTTGGACTTACTGAGAGCAATGGGGACGAACAAATTAAGGATAATTTCAGAAATCCACCATGGGTGGAGTGTTGCATAAAATCATATTATCTTGATAAAAGTGATGTCTGGGGAAGTCGCAACTTTCGAATCTTTGCCACAAAGTTGAAGTAGAGAAGTTCAACAGTTTTAGCTATGTACAGCCACCAAGGTGGTGAAGTAGGGTTCAACAGTTTCAGATATATGTATAGTTTCAGCTGTGTGTTCAATATGATTTGGTCGTTTCTTTTGTGTTACCTTCGACACCTGTAATTGTGGCCTTTTTGATAAATTCTATATATTTTGTGTGGTGCCTATAGGCTATGTATATGTGTGTGTTTGTGTGTGCCTCGTTAAGGAAAGTTCTATCTACTCTTAGAATTATCACAATAACTAGAATGCTCCAAATTTGGAATAACATCCATTAGTATATTGAATAAAAATTTTCCAATCATCATGGTATGTTCTAAGATCTAAAGCCGTCTTTAAGATTTTGAATATATATATATATATATATATATATATATATATATATATATATATATATATATTTGCTTACACCAAAAACCAAACACTCACAATGGAATCTTCGTTTGTTCCAAAGATGGCTGCCTCTTCCATCCCCTCACTCTTCCGCTGCCAGCCAGTTCTGTTCGTACGTTGCGGAATGTATCTAGGAAAGTTTTTGGTTTTGTAAAATAGATCTGTTACCAACTTTATTTTAATTTAAATGCAAGTTCAAGGTATTGGAACATTCACAAATTACTGCAGTTATTCGAATTTTAAAAAAAAAAAAAAAAAATTAAATATGTAAAATAGTATTTAAAGTGAGACAAAATATTTTTATTTTAAATTATACATTTTTAAATTTATTTTTCAAAAATGGTTTTAAGAATTTGCAAGCCAAACAAATTTAAAATTTTTGAAAAAAAATAAACAAAATTTAATTTAACTTAATTTAATTTAAATTATTATTATTATTATTTTTTTATTTTTTTTTTTCACTTTTAGAAAAATGAATCCAAAAGATCTGGAAGTTTCTATTCAGAAAGTCATGTTTGTGTGGCAAGAAAGTCGTACATAAACCCATTCTGGATGGTTCGGGTGCTGTAAACCGTGACTGATATCCAGCCAAGAGAGGGGAGAGAGAGTGAGTGAAATCAGATTTTTCATTCTAAGATCCCCTATTTATAGAAAAATTCAAAAAGTGTCCCGAACGGGCTCCGCCGGGTTCGGAAAAGTGTAATTCGAGCAGACGCGCTCAAACGGCAAAACTCCGTGAATGAAAAAGAATCGAAATGAGAAAATATGAACAACGGAAGAAACGAAGTCAAAAACTGAGTCCCGAGCAGAGAGATATGTCCAGAATAAGTTCGGCGGCAACCGGGGCCAAAAACCCTGAAACTGGAGAAAAATAAGTAGAAGGAAATTCTAAAAGCACACGACTCGACGAAAAGTGAAAATGAATCCCGTACGAGGATCCAGGCTAAAAATAAAGCATTTAGTAATAACTTTCATTAATTGCATAATGGCCCTCCAAAAAGTGAAAACATGCCAATACGAAAGTTTTTTTTGGGATATCAATATTGAAGTATACATGTCCAAAAAACCATTTTTCAAAAGCTAGCAAAGGATAAGAAACCATCCAAATTGATGTGTGAACAATTACAAAAGGACAAATTTCTTAATGGACAGAACCAGCAAGCCATCAGAAGTATTTATATCCCCGTATTTCAAAGGACAATGCTTAGCTACTCATGAGTGAGTAATTTTACCCTACTCACTCTTTATGTGTTTCAATAACAAAATAATACATTAGCTTTAATAGTAAAATCAGCAAAATAATAAAAAAAAAGAAAAAGAAAGTTAGATCGACCCTTTTTAATTGGGTAACTCTTTTCTCTCTCCTTTTTTATTGATTCCCAACCCACGCCCCCCTCTATCCACGGTTCTTCTTCTTCACCCTTTCTCTTTTTTTTTTCTCTTTTTCATCCCTTCTCAAACCCACGCCTTCCTCTCTCTCCACTCTTCTTCTTCTTCTTCTTCTCCTCACCTCTATGGGACATCGTCAATCAATGAACGAACATGTCTAATTTGTGTTTGGGTTATTATTATTATTTTTTTCCTCTCGTGCTCCATTGAACATCATCACTCAACAGGCAAACAAAAATTGTGGGTTCAACTAGGTCTTGTAGTGGAGGTATGATTTAATTCTTTGCTTTGCACATTTATGGTTTAATTTTTAGAAAGGGACTTTCAATCATTATTCAATAAAACTAACTTGATGCTTATAGAGTAGCCTTTTAATTAGAACACACATCAAAGATGACAAGGGGCTGGGAATTTAATTTCATAACTGACACCTCCATCCGGACTCTCATAAAACCAAGACAAAAGAAATAAAAGGAATATATATATATATATATATTGACACACACACACACACACACACACACACACAAATGGGTTTAACTAGGTTTTATTCTTGAGTTTGAAAGCAATTTCATAGAAGAAACAATCATAGATATATGGTTGTGTCATAAAAGAGTTGTTGAGGGGTCGGCTAAGGTCTAGCAACAAGAACGAGCTGGTTACTTATTTACATGTTCTAAGGTTTTTTTGTAGTGCAGTGAAAAAGTAGTTACCCAATTAAAACGGGTTGATTCGACTTTCTTCTTCTTTTTTTTTTTTAATTATTATTTTGCTAATTTTGTTATTAAAGCTAATGTGTTATTCTGTTATTGGAACACATAAGAGGTGAGTTGGTTGGCTAAGCATTGTCCTATTCCAAATTCAAAATATGGGAAAAAATTCTCAAATTGAGAAAGACTAGTGGATTTTATTCAAGTGAACAATTAGAGAAATACAAGTGTGGATGCTCCAAATTTCTTAGTCAAATTAACTAAAGGAGTTTGATTCATGTGAAAATATGGAAAAATATAAGCCTGAGTATTGCATACATCCAAATTAATTTCTTAATGATGATGATGAAATGAGCTCGAGTTCATTGTAGATATTGCATGGACCCGGCATTGGATAAGCTATTTGTGGTCATGTTTGAACAAAGGTTCAACCCTATAATTGTAAAAATCCAAATCTTTTAATGCACAAAGCAACGACACATGGAAAGCATTTGTATCCCCACTTAAGAAATAATTAAAAATATAATGATGACAACTAAATGCAAGTTCACTTGAATTGATCTTATCGAGGATACAACCACCACCACCTTGGTTGTTATAGTACCAATGGTATCTCTAAAATTGTTAAAATATATAAAAATTGACGAGAAAAATTAAATAAGAAATAACAATATACGTGCTTCAATTTATCAGGAAAAATATTAATGAGTGCTAAAAAGTGCGTATTTAAATCCCGTAAGTTTGAGTATTCTAGAACCTTTACCTATCTTATTTTTCTTATTTAAACTAATTTCATATTATTGCCCTTTTCAGGCGCTTATCCCCAAAATAAGTCAATTCAGCCAAATTAGAGCATAAAAGAAGCAATCTCAAGCTAAATGGAAGAAAAGAGCAAAGTGGTGGAAAACAGCAAGTTTCGATCGATCAGACCAATCTTCGATCGATCTCACAGTGATCGATCCAGCCTTACCAAGATGGATCAAACCTTTTGTCCTTATCCTCAAGAATTTCCATCTTCGATCGATACAACTTTCTTTTCGAACGATCGAACTTCTTTGATTTTATCCCCATCTACCACTTTTGTCTTTTTCCCAAAATATCCTAAAAATATCTCAGACTTGTCTTATTCCAAAAAGGACCTCGCCAAGGTTTGATCGATTTGGCCATTCTTTGATCGATCTGTCCATACTTCGATCGATCTCATTAGAATTCGATCGATCGAACTTCCTCAAGTTCGAAATAAAACAGAGTCCAGCTCATTAAAAGATGGCTCGTGGTGCAATCATTGAAGGGGCCTAGTGCACGAAACTTGACCATTGGGTGTGACATTGGAGCTACCTATATAAGGATTTTGAGCCTTTTTACAAGGAGGATCATCATACAACAACACAATAGAGGAGAGAGCCTAAAGATTAGAGAGATACACACACCATTTAGGAGTTCTTCCATTCATCTAGGGTTTCCATCAAGGAAAAGAAGATCAATCCTACCATGGAGATGGCCTTGAGGGTTGGATGATTACATCAATGAGTGGCTAAACATCTTTTTGGGGCTAGAGTTAGCCCTAAGCATGCCTTCTAGATCTTGATGTTTTGTATTATGAGGGGATTTATGTTTTAATTCTTGTCTTGACATTTGACTTATATGTGAATCCTGTTTCTATAATGATTTGTGTTGCTTAATACTTCCAATTGATCATTTCATTCTATTCATATGTCTATGTATACTAGAATAGATGTTCATGTATTTATCTCTTGGTTTTGTAATATTGATGCATGTCTATGTGTGTTGATGCTATGAATCTAGAGATTATCAAGGTATGGTGCTTTAATGGAATACTCTTGTGGCTTGTTTGATGGTTCATACTCATTTCTTGATGGATTGTGCCTCTACCTTAGTTTAATTAGTTTAATTTTCATGTCCCTAGTTTAGTTGTAGTGTAGTTGCCTTATTTTCCTAGATGGGAGGACAATCCATGCTTGTTGTTTGATGTTCCATGCTTATGAATGCAAGTAGTATAATTCTCTAACTTGTTAATGTGTTTTGATTGTGAGCTTAAAGGAAGGAATAATGGCTTAGTTTGATATATTTTGCTATTCATTAGGTTGTCTAGACAATGTATGCTTAATTAGTCATCCATGCTTATTAATTCAATCAATCACACATATTGGTATTGCAACATATATTTCCCCTCATTCATTACACATTGAGTATCTAGAAAGGTGATGTTTAGTGGTGACCTCTAAATCCCAAGATCCCTCTCTCTTGTTCTCTACCCTTTATTTACTTTAATTGCTTTGTATTGAATTTTTTTACATTGTAGTTTAATTAACCAATCAAACCACCTTTTGATTACTCGTCCTACTAGTCCGACCTTGTTTCCATACCAACATTACTCCCAATTCCTTGGGACGATCCCTACTCACCCTAGCTATATTAGTAGTTAGAGGTAGTAGTGGCACTTTATAAATTCAAACTTGGCCACTCTTTAACACATTTTAACTTGTTGGTTTACGACGACACCAAGTTTTGGTGCCGTTGCCGAGGATTGAATTGGCAACGCCGTGATTTGGAAACTATTAGGAATTAGTACTCTTTTGATCGTGTCTTTACTTTATTTTGTTTTGATTACTTATTGTGTTTGTTCTTGATTGGCTAGGTGCATTGAGAAAGAAAGTGAAGCAAA